GAGCTGAAACAACTCTCATCATACAAACTTGTTTCGTGAACTACAGTACAACATCGTCAGCATAGAGAAACTTTGACGCTTATAGAGGCATACCAGCTGGACGTTTATCGATTACGGGAAAGGTGGGGAGGGCCTTCTCGCCCTTCCTCCTACCAAGACAACACTTTATAATCTCCATAGTAGAATGGCTGGTTGAGCTTGTATGTCTGAAAGAAAGGTAGAGAAATTGCCAGAAATATAGCACTGAATGTGAACACTTGTGCTTTTAAACATCCTCGTTTTGGTAGCCTCGCCGTCCACATTTATGGTCGTGCAACCTTCGGAGTACCTACCATGCGCCCCATTCTGCCATGTCGATGCCTGATTTTTTCAGTTCTTACAGATAGGCCAATGATAGGCTGGCTTTTCTTCTGATTGAGCCTCAATTTGCTCACTCCAGTACGGGTTCACATCACGCGCGCGTAATCTTAGAGGTTCAACTAAATATGGCTTATCTTACTGTGCTCCGACCTGAGTCTCATGCCTAGCGCTGACCAGCCCCGGTTGATTTCGACTTCTTTCTCTCTCTGGCCCCACTCCCTCCCCCCACCAGGAGCGCAGGGACCCCAGTGGTGTGGAGTGGCTGACCGGCTACGCATTTCACAACATAGCTTCGCCTTTTCGATTACCATTATAGATCAAATGCTCATTGGTGAATTATTGGACATCCAAGTAAGAACTAGGAATCAAGTACACGAGAGTAAATCCGGAAAAGGATATGGAGGGTAAGACAAGGCTATATTTCACGACGGTTAAATAACACAAACAGCAATTAGACTCTTGGGCGCATTTCAGCCTTTGTGAGCTGTGTAGCATTGTCTTGTTACTTTATAGCTGTGAACCTGCAGGAGATTCAAGATTGGAGGATGCTTTCAAGCTATTTCTTGCTTGCATGGCTGACGCCAGCAGAGCCCTCCACTTGCAAAATCCCACCCTTGTGTGAGGCACTAGGCCAGGTAATTTTCACTAGGTGCAAGAAATATAGTAACACTTGTCTGACTAGCGAGGTAGTCCTCATAACGCCGGGATTATATTGCAATGTCGAGAGATTCTTGCAGTCGCGATCTACAGTAACCTAGGTTTTCTCTGCGCCTTAGTTACATTCCTTTTAGATGACTCATCTGGTCGCGCAATGATCGCGCAATGATTTAGTTTCCCGTGGACCTCGAGATAATCGCACCTTCTATAGCCTTGGCGTAGGCACACAGAGGTACTATAGACTCACCCCAGCACAGTATTTCGAGGCGGCCATTGAGGATGACCTTAATACGATCTTTATGCACTTAGGGGAGAGCTCCCGATGGATGAAGACGCAATGAGGTCGATCGAACGAGAGGTGGAATTATAAACCAGTAATACGTACCGTTCTCCTTATGACATCCGAGGAACTATGAGCGCTCTGCTAGGTCTGATTTAGCAATATGTGGCCCATTTCGAGACATTCTTGGAAACATGAACCATATTATCCTGAGGGCGCCCTCTCAGAGCAGTTTACTAACGGAGAGGCTTTTCCTATGTGCTGATCCAGAATATGTAGACTGTCTCGTGTACGGGCTCATAAGCAGATCCTTATAGAAATACATTCATAGTTATACCATCCTATGTATTAAGCAGCCTTAGAAAGCGCGACTTAGAAGTGTTCTCTTGAAACGGTGAGGGTCATGAGAGGTTCCTCTTGTGAGGAAACCCGCCACGTGAGGAGCTCCATAAAAGCAAAAGCTAGATAAGAGGTGGTACGAAATGTGAAAGAGTTCATGATAAGGTATGCCTTCGAAGACACTCATCTCAAACCTGGTTCGATCACAAGACTTGCCAATCTATTTCTTGGTCCTATCACGGTAGACTACATACTCGAGAATGTGGAACTCTAGTTTGTAACATCGGAAAGAGTACTGCGGATTTCTAATATGGGCGTCATTAATGAAACCTTAGCGCCGCAGTGGTTGATGAGAAGCACGCAACATCGTCCTGCTTAATTACATGCGATCGAACAAGCCGCGTCGCCCCTCCACCATTCGACGGCAGCGATGCATCTTGCGCCCCTCAAGCCCTCGCTGCCCAGTTCCAAAGTCGCCATTCCGCGTGTCCCCACTACTTGGAAACGGACGACTGAAACGAGCCTGCATCGAGTGCAGAGAGCAGAAAACAAAATGCAACGGTCATCATATTTTTGCGTGCAGAACGTGCCTATGACCCCAAAATATTATGCTCTCGACCAGACATTCGTCTGCCCACATTGTCACGGCTCTGCATGTCTACCGACCATTCCAAGGTAATTCAGTCTTACAAAAGCCCCTTCGCGCGCGATCGACCTGATCGTGTCTTCACCATCTCAGTACTTTGCTGCGACCCTGTCGACCCCAGATGACCAAAAAAAAGATCCTTTGCTTAATTAATCCCACCGTGTCATTGTTCGCCGCGCGCTCTCCCTCCGAATTCGTGCCACCCTTGATTGTTGCAGAATGGGTGCTCGCCTGTTTCCGCTTGTTCCGCCTGCGACGGGTTGGACCGTCACGCCTTTGACGCGAGTCCTCCCATTGACGCGAGTCCTCCCATTGACACCCGTCATCCCACTGGCGCTAGTCATTCCCTTGACGCGAGTCCTCCCATTGACGCCTGTCTTTCCTTTCAAATAATAGTCTCCCCGAATGAAATTCCGCTAGTCACTTCTCAACTCGTTCGCCGTCCATCTTCCCAGGCTCAAATAGATAATTCATGCTGTCCTGCAAGGATCACCACTCTCCCCGACTTGGTTACTCTCAAAACTGACAAGGCGAGTCGAGGTAGCGGAATGTGGGGACTGAACCCCTCCATGAGTGGAGACGGTTCCAGAACTTTTGAGAGCGGTTTCCTAGAAAAATATAGGTGTCGGGAGCCGTGAGCAGCTGACCTCAGCTAGAGATCACCCATCCGTACTTGTGAGTCGTGAGTACGATCCAAAATTCAACATAATTAATCCGTCCTACTATGTTGAACAGTCTAACAACAAGCGGGGCACGGCATCAAAAGGCGTATTGGAAAGAATAACTATGTGGAACTGTCGTGCTGAAGACGAAGTTTGGACTTAACATATGTATAAGGAACGGTCGCCCAAACTCTCCATTGCTCATGGATGGAAAGTACTGTACTGTGAGTTCTTTTTCGGAGCTTGGAATGTGTCGATATCCTACAAAATCATAATGATCGAGCCATACTGTGGCCCACTCTCCTACTAGGGCCACGACACTCACTAGGGCGACGGCACTGGCTAGGGAGACGACCCTGACTCGGGCGGCGGCACTCACTCGGGCCACGACACTCACTAGGGCCACGACACTCACTAGGGCCACGACACTCACTCGGGCCACGACACTCACTCGGGCCACGACACTGATGGAATTAGTGTTCTAAAACCGATTGGATGGTTGCCACCGTTCGCGTCGTTCGAACGAAAAATCGAAGCCACCAATTCAAATCTCCAGCATGAATTTCTCAGGCCGGGCGATCGATATGTCGCTAGCAGGCACAGGTTTTGGAAGGATGAAATGATGAATTTTAGCATCTTACTGTGAAGAGCTATATGGGCATTGCTAAGAAATTAACTGTACTTTATATGTCGCATGTTACATATAATGTATATGTGGTCGATCGCAACATCTTGTAATTTTCGCGAGAGAATCTCGCAACTATGATCTGGCGCTATCGTCAGAGTACACATGTTTGGTAGATTTGCCATGCTAGAATACTACTTTGCTGCCACTGTTACAAATGCCCGAGCCAATTCTGTTATGGCATTATAATGACTAATAGTTGTTTGAGTGCCCTGATTTCTTTTAGGTCCATGCTTGGATCTCCGTTCATAGCACGTTTCTAGAGGCGATGTTAGCAAAGGGATAATAAAGAAGGAAGGCACCTTACCACATCGGTTTTCCACTGTTCGACCATTGCACTCAGATTATGCGGATCCGTCAGGCTCTCTGATGTCACTCAATGTGTCCGATTCTGTACATGGCTGTTATTTAGCGTGAGGACTGGGATTTGGATAAAGATTGCATCATCCCTTCTCTCCTTCTTCAGGGTCGATAATATGGTCGGGCGGGCCGAAATTGATTATGCAATGGTCTTGGCGATCGTGTGACTCTAGCAGTGGAAAGCTGTCTCACTCCAGTAAGAGTCAAAACTAGCATAGCTTCAATGACTCTGCTTAGCATCATATTTTGCTTGGCAGGAACCAGTATCGTTCAATGTTTATCATGCTTCTGCGTTAAAAGCGAACGCCATATGTTGTCAACATTAGGGTCCTCGATAATGTGTTATGCCTCGAGGAGATGAGCTTCGTGCCCTTGAATAGCGACTTTTGCCACCCAAATAAGCGGGTGAGGTACCCTGGAAACTCACGATGATGTTCCCGATACGATCTGGGACCAACTGTACGCGGAAGAGCGGCAGTGAATTAAAAAAGCGACAAAAAGGCTCCCAAGCCTCCTCCAAGTGGATCAATGTTACTATCAATCAACATAAACGTCGGCGCAACCAAAGCCATGTCAGATGGCAAAGAGTTCTTCCGATCGGGCTGACAACAACCCCTATTTTGCCTGTTGATCTAGATTAGATACCTTTGGGCCACCTGAAGTGGCAGTGGAAGAATACACCGATTGGCATCTGGCGAAAGTAAACACTGAGAACTTCAAGCAGAATGTTACAGCACATGTCTAGAGAGCGCCTCCTGTTAGCTACCCCATCAAACACGTGCGACGAAGGCATTATGCAAATGAGGCTCTCTTGGTCAGACTGGAAGACATAGGGAATGTGGATGCGGCGGAAAGCATCAGGAGTGCACGTGAAGTACATACAAAAACTAAAGCGTGAGCCCACTAGCTATCGCCACAGGAGTGCAGGAATTGATTGGAAGATGTATTGAGCTAAAGACTTTCTAGATATATATCAGATCCCGCATATAATCCTTCTGAACTCAACTGTCCTCACTTATCAAGGTCAAATGGCCAGATTGACCTCAGTGTCATTTCATCTCTTACCGGCTCATCATTGTCTAAATCTGCGTTCGTCAAAACAGCCTGCAACATTCCATCAAAGAGTTCGTTCTGGGCTGATTGTGCCGCTTCCCAACCATCTGGCGGTACCCATCCGTCTGAGGCTGTATTTAGGAAGCTTGACAAATCGGTTCGCAGATTCTGTGCCGCCTCGAAAAGCCTGTACTCTTTCTCGTGTTTCTCAAGTTCTTCTCGCGTGGGTAAAGGGTAAGGACATTGACCTTCAAATCCTAGCTCGTTCCAATGCCTCGCAGTCTCAATCATCTCGTGACGTAAGGCCACCGCGCCATCTTTCCATGTTCTATAACAGTAACGGAAAGGGCGAAAAATGTTGTCATTCATCAGCCTTGGGCCTGCAAGTTTTGGTGTGAGAAACTGTGAAGAGAGATCAAAAGCTTTGGCGCATATCTCACTTCCTTCTGCGAAGTCCGGGACCTCGTCCGAGTACCAAAACGCCGGCTCGATACTAGCTGCTTGCCAATCAATAATGCTAGTGATAACAGAAGGATTGTCATCCGAAACAAATATATTCCTCGTATGCAGGTCCGGGTGGAACAATAAGGGTGGGGCGGAATTTCTGACGCGAGTACTCGCGGCCATTTGCTTCAGCACAGGACGGGTACGCTTGAGAAGAGCTAAATGCGTTTCAGGCGATCCATGATAGATTGGTCGTTCGGGTTTGGTATCCACTGGAGGAACTTGTGACAAACCAGCGTCAACAAGGCCATCACAATAATCGCCAATAGTCAACCCTAACGAATTCTGGTGGTAAGCACAATTGCCCAGTAGCGGGAGCGTCGACGCAACTTACATGGGCCAACGTTTCTATTAGCATCATGATAATATCTCCTTTCGCCCACATTAGTATCCCAGTATCTAGTACCGCAGTGAGGTCCAACACAAAAGCCATCACCTAGGGGTTGTTTGCTAACAGATTCGAGGGTATCGTCGAAGTATATGCTCCCAAAAGCTGGGAATTCCAACTCGGCGATATCCTTTATTGTCCGGTAGATTGCATCTATGCACCTGACCTGCTGGTCGCCAGCCATTTTATGCCATTTCTCGTGCAGAGGAACGCCTCTTGCATGTTCCATGATAATATATTCGCTGCCGATAATATTTGTTTCTTCAGTGGCGTCGCAATTGTAATCAAGAATTCTCGGTACGGGGATATTCGTCTTCGTTTGTACTAGACCAAATGGTTTGGTCAGCGTTGAAGTAAGGGGTAAATAAGTGATAAATAATCGCGATAAACTTACAGTAGCGAATTGTAGCAACCTCAGAAATAGTGGTCAGTTTCGCTGGTCCTGCCAACCGAAACGGGAGCCTCGCCACGATATTCTTCTTGTTATCCAAGGTAAAGATAAAAACTCTGTTAAAGCCCCCTTCAATTTTTCGACAAGCCTTTATTTCACTTGCTTCGGGGCATAACTCAATAACCTTCTGGCAAAGAGCAACAAAGCTGAATTGAATGGAGCGCGAATCAGTCTCCAGTTTATCACGCCGCAACCACCGACCGCTCGTGTAGGTATAGGGTCTGATTTCTGGCGTTATATTAGCATGAATAATCAAGGTACGACGAAAGCAAATGGCTCACCCAGTTCTAACTCGGTATTCATCGCACTCGCTGTCCAAATTGTTGCGCCGCTGGCTGACTGGAGACGAGAAGATAAAGTTGACGGGAAAAGGGATAGAGATAAAGGGCGGCCAGGTCGACTTCTTAACGCCCAAAACAAAGAACTCCTCAAAGTTGGGAGCATCTGGTTCGATATTAGAAGACATTTGTCAATAAATTTGATTGGGGGCGTAGAAAAGAAAGACCTCCAAGCTCATTCCACGGTTAAAAAAGCAACCGTGTTCCAGGGCGGTGTCAGGTCACCGCCAACGTCATAAAAATGCAGCTCCACTCGTTACGGATAGTCACTCTACTATTGGAGGGTTTCTGGAACGACTACGTGGTTGATTGTCTAATAATAAATAGATTTGTTACGGTTTCCCCGTTAGTGCGCATTGGGGACAAGATATCTGGCCCAACGACTCCACATAATTGCAAGACGGTTGATCCATGTCATAATCAAAGGACCTTCGCATGAGTTAGCTGCATGATACAATATGCTCAGATGTTTGTGCCAACCTTATCGCGCTCATCCGAGGTTCTTCTTGCCTTTCTCTTCAAGATCACGTAGTACCCTCTCGTACTCTGCTTGTTTGTCCTCAGCAGCGGTATCGAATACCGAGGTTGCGAGCTTTGCGTGTGTTGTATTTTTCTTGACCCAGTCCTTCAGGACAGGACTTTTAGCTTGTGAATTAACTTGTAAAACAACATTCAATTTCTTTGAGCTTGGGTCGTAATGGCCGGCATCGACGCGAAGCTGAAAATCGGCGTCCTTGGTTCTGGAAGGAATAAGGCGGCTGCCTTCCACCGCGGCGCTAGAAAATTTGGAGGGTGCATTCTTGAGAGACTGTGCTTTTTGAACAAACGATCCCAAGACCTTCGACATTCCGAAATGAGGACTGGACGACAGTTCAAGGACAGTGTTAAATGAAAAGTGAAAGTGCGGGCCGAGATGAAGGCAGTCTAAGGCTGTGAGATGCAGGTGAGTGGGCAATTAAGTAGGAAGGTTCTCAAGCCCTCGACAGCTCTTGGGATATCTTATATATGTCAGGTTCAGTTTGCTTCAACTTCTAACGTTCATCCTGTGATACATCCTTGCCGTAGTTTTCCAGCCGCTGAAATGGGATTGTGCTTGGACCTCGAAATACCCCAGCACGAGGAGGCTGAGATTTTTTTTTTTTTTTTTTTTTTTGCTGGCGGCTACTCTTGAACCAATATTGGAGCAATCAGCTTGTTTCCCCTTTCTGTGGCTTTTTTCATATCAGCAAAATCATCCAAGCAGGGCAGGGGGGGGCGGCTTTGGCGAGGCGAGCCATTGCTGCCTGTGCTTTTGCAGGAATGAGTTTCATCTTCGCAGTTCTTCCCTATCTGACTGGTTCCGACAGCTCCAAAGTGCCCAGATTCCTCGCGCACGGTTAGCAAGCTCGTAGTTCACAGCTTGCGCTAATGCATGATTTCGAGTCTGTCACACCACTGTTTTTCTTCGAGGAGTCTCTCCCTTCTCTAGATATAAGAATCGTCCAGGTTTAATCTGGTGATCGGCAAGCCCGAAATACAGTTGAGGCTCGAAGTTGCCTGAGCGGCGAATGAACGAAATCGCTGGGTCTCCACACTAGCTGGTATTCGCTAGAACCAGAGCTACTCCACTCTCAACCCGGGTCAACAAACCGAAGACTGAATTGTGGAGATAATGGCAAGAAGGTTCAGCGGCTTCGACCAACGGTAGGCCGGACAGCCTTGGAGATCAAAGCATCTGCCTATGGACTGGAGTTCCTCGATACCAGCCAAAATGGGGGCTGTGCCCAGACTCCGCAATATCCCAGCAGGGAAAAAGGTACCCCGCCTTTTTTTCCGCACTGATACTCCGCTTCGAGAGTGTCTATCATTGCCAGATGCTGCGGAGTTCTGGCGAGACAAGTGCTTTTGCAGGATCCTGCAGCGAATTACAATTCCAGATCGAGAACAAGGTCCGTGCACCTGGAGATGCATATTGGGGCTGTGTCCTCGTCGCGCGGCACTCGAGATCGAGCCTGCCTTGATTTGAACCATCAGATATTCTAGCTGCCTTGAGGGTGAACCGGTTCGGATGACGTAATCAAATCAATCATTGTGTTGATCGCCTTGCTAAAGATTTATGCCCGAGGCATTCAGATCACCCCAGCTATAGCAAAGCTGAGCGCGGGGCAGTCTAGGTGGGGAGAATCCGGTGTTGATCGATTATTACTTGATTAATTAGCCAGTGCTTGCCTGTCTATTTGATTCGTCTCTAACCCAGCACCCCACGAGTCAACTAAAGGTCAAGCCGACTGGCTTACTAACCGCAGGGACCATTTTTCCGTGTCGCGACTGTCATCGGAGCAGGATAAATACTTCGCACCTTCCTTCCAAGAGCAGCTTTGGTTCAACCGGAAACCTCTTGCTCTCCTCCTTTGCATGCCCGGCTGATTTACGGAGCCAGAACACCTTGCGACTCATGCGCCTAAACATAAAATGGTGCTCTCGATATCGCCCGTCGAAACCGAGGACGTAAATTTGCTTGTGCGAAAGGTCGAATTCCCCGCACATCAAGACAACCCACTCTATCGCTTGATGTTCCCACACTCAAAGGAGCAACACTGGGAGGAGAAGGAGGACGAAATCAGATGGACGATTGATGGTCTTCTTGAGACAGTTCATCAAGAGGACGAAGCTCTGTACAAGGCGTGTGGAGAGGATGGATCACCTGTCGGGCTTATAGGTTGGACTACCAGTCCAGGAGCATTTGCAACGGGAGTGAAATGTAGGGATTGCCCTCACGGTAGCCCGGTAGTTAAGTCCGGAGCGAGGGGAGTAGCAAAGTTTAAAAGCCGGAACAGCTTTGATCCTCCCTCTTTGGATGTTGCTTCGTGGCTTGGTATCTCAAAACGGCTTAGAGAAGAGAGGCAAAGAGTTATTCGAGATTGCCAAGGCAATGGGATATGCCGTAAGCCATCAGTCAACTGAATTTTCTTGACCCTTGCTCACTTACCTCTATTAGGAATCACTTTTATGGCTGTGGATCCAAATCATCAACGTCAAGGTGTTGGGTCTACGCTCATGAAAATTTTTTGTGATTATGTTGACGAAAATGCACTAGACGCCTTTGTTTTGTCCTCGCCTGCTGGCATTCGACTATACTCCAGGTTCGGATTCAAAGCAGTCGGAATTGTTGAGACAAAGGAAGGAAACTTTACTAGCATGCTAAGGACTTCATGCCTTAGCCCCCGGGAAAAGACCGCATTACCTTTAAACAATAATGCAAGCTAGTTGAGGGGTTCCCAAATTCTTGTCAACGTTATCTAAGGCAGCAAATATTGACAATATGGTTGCGTCATTAAACAAAATCAATAATCAAGATTGACGGTTATGGATTTAATGACACGAATCTCATGGTTGCCTATGTATAGCATCAGGAACAACCATGGTCATTGAGATGTTTTCCCTCAGTGTCTTTCCAGCAATACTCTCTGCAGTGGCACCTCTGGTCATCATCAGTGCTAAAAACCCAAACAGCTTCAATGAGCTCCGAATCATTGACCGATCCCCGTGGTATCATGATGTTGGTCTTGCCCTCAGTGATCTCCACCGATAACTCCGGGTCATATCTGTCTAGAGAACGCACACCAAGTACGCTCTCTAATTTGTGTTGGTGAAGAAGTGCCGAAATTCCGAGAAAGAACTCATGATCGTGGTCTCCATGAGACGAGCATGGCGAAAAATCAAATTCAAATGGAGCCAAAATTCCGTTGAAGAATCTGAACGTCCGCGGAATGATGAAGCCTTCATATTTAGGCACCACGCTGTCACAGTTTTTGACAGTCCACGGTGCTGAAATGTTTCGGCAGTCCACAAGCCGCTGGTTGGCCTCCATCGTAAAATGCTTGTGCAGCAGACAGATCCCATACCGTTCATGCATTCCAGAGTCGAGAAAGAGCTGTCTTATGGGGCCCAGTAGGTGCTCCTTCGCCTGCATTTCCTTGAACAGATGGGCTGCCTCCCGAAGGGATGGCAGTGATTCGTAAGCTTCTGGGATATAGGTGGCCCTACAAGAGTCAGCAAGGGCTCAAGTTACTGAACGAAAAGGAAGGATGGTACATTTTTTGCCGCGCATAAACAGTATCGTCAAGTCGAGGTGGTCTCCAACTGGTTTTGGAAAGGTTGGAGTAGAATTTTCAGTGAGGCAGCACGAACCCCTTTATACCATAGTTGATGAGCATTTCTACGTGCCATCTGCTGGCAGGGAATCACCGTGGTAAGGATGTTAACTATAGGAATCTATTGATGGCCGAACGCTTCAAAATAGCTCATGAGGCTTTAGACGGTAGAAGTGGCGAGTAGTGGGCAATATTGGTAGGCAAAGATCATCCGTCGTTGAAGGGACTACACCCAAGTAGGCACTCGCGGCAGGCAGTGAGCAGGAATATACAGAATTAATGGGATAGTAGGTCGCGACGGAGGCCTTGTGATGAGTATTGGTCAGCAGCAGGCAACAATAGCCGATAGTAAGCAGTAATGGGCATTAATGGGCATTAATGGGCATCAATGGGCGGAAACAGGCTACAGAATATGCATTGAATTTACAAGTTGGGCGGGTCGTATGGGGCGAAAACAACGCAGGAATCGTTCCCTATCTTCCCCAGGCCATGATTGGTGCATACGAAGCCGCCGGCCGTGATAGTCATGCTGCACATGCAGCAAGCTGCAGCCAAGTCACATCGAGACTGAGAGGGCAAGTAGGAGGTCAAAGCTCAGCGCGGAACATTAGGAGGACATTCTCGCTCAGAATGTCCCATTGCTTTTGTACCTTAACTTGTTTCTTTCAACTTTGGGTATTTCACAAACGCCATGTCATTGACCGAGCATTTCTTTGACTCTCTTCTTCACCAAAAAAAAATCTTTGACAGTAGCCCATTCTTAGATGCGAACGGTCAGAAAGGACTCGAATCTTCTTACTGTCTTTTGCATGACATAATCAAACGCACAGAATCGCGGCAGACCCAGAACAGGCGTGACAAGGCTCGACAACACCTCAAGAACATCTACTCTATAGCGGAACCATTGTTTGTCCTCGTTGCCGTCACGATATCCATCACTGATCTGGCATCGCTGGACCACGACGAGATCTATCCTCGCCTCGAAATTTGGTGGCAGAACAATGAACCTTCCCAAAAATTCCAGTCACGCGCGGTTGAGCTGATCCACGAGCTGAGCCATGAAAGAGAGAGAGGTGGCCTTATCCATGTCCAACGTAAATTATCGCCCTCACTTATCCGATGCATTGATACTAACTCATCTCGAAGAAAGAACAAAAAGCAGGACTTTACGAAAGTCGCGGCGTGCCAAACACAAGAGGATAGAACATCCCGTCACCCCTCCAGAGCCAACGCCGCAGATCCCAATTGACCAACCCACTGAACTTCCAGATGCCCTCGCAGAATTTGGTGAAGCCCCTCCATTCTTCGTTTATTGAACTTGTACTAATGGATGGATTGCAGGTAATGATAGAATCGAGAGCGCGCAGTTACCCATTTCTGGAAGCTCAGGTTCCATCGGAGCTTTTACAGTGAATGCGACCGACGAAGAGCCCATATCATTCCTTTCTTCACAGCTCATGGGCTTCCTCCATACATATCACGCCGATTTTCCCCATCTGCAAGCTGTCAGCGAGCTGCTTCGAATCAGCGGGCCTAACTTGCAGCTTTCATACTCTCTTCTCAATTTGACACCTCCATATATCCATATCGATCTTCAACTGCCCTCTGGGTTAAACGTTAACATCGAGGTGTCAAGGGAAATCAGTTATTCCTTCATTCAGTATCTGTGGATGCTCCAGACATCAGGCGTCACGGCAGACGAAACGTCGCAATAGTACATTTCTAAACACGAGGCCAGTACGTCCATCACTCAGAACGAGGATTCTTTGACCGCTTCCTGTTTTGGGGCCTGTTGAAAGTATATCAATGCTGCCCTCTGCAACGCGTGAGTGGATGACACCCTCTCCCTCGTCTCCGTGTATCAGGACCGCAGGGGCGATATTTGAATCTAAAATTTTCCCCTTGAAATATTCTGTTTCCAGTGTGACGGCCTTTCCTTTCTACCAAGATAAACGTAAGTAGTTGAACATACACAAACATCCAGGATTCTAACCAATAAGGATTTTGCTTCTTCTTCTAGACCCTTATCATCTTGTGCTGTTGGCCTTTGGAATACAAATTCGTTGATTTCGTTCATGACACTCTCGACGTTCGGATGGACTTCGTTGGTGGCTCAGGGCACGGGAAAGGCCGATTGGTATTTGCGAACACCGTGTCACCTAATTGTGGGCGAGAGAGGGTCAGCAATTTTCGAAGTGATCAAGTCGAGAATCAGTATTTGCACGATATACTTACCGTGGGGCTTGCCTCTCTAAAGTAAAATTTGCTGAAGACGGGTTGCACTCGGTTTTTGATGAAGCAGACTCTAGATAGATAAGAAGAGCCCACCGCGGGGCTTTGAACTTTGGGTAGCCCAATCCCAGTCACGTGGTTTCGCGTCACCAGCCCAAGAGCGAGCATGGGTGTCATGCAACACCAGTCCTTAGTATTTGAACAAGGTCGTGAAAGACATATACTTTTCAACCTGAACTTCTTTCCTCATCCACCGCCTTCTATGTGGCGTAGTCAGGTACCGCAGAAAATGCTGATAGTGAAGAAACGAGGTACATGCCGTACAGCAGTAATGTCTCAATGCAAATCATCTCTTATTTCGCACTTTCAAGTACCATTTTGTCTCATTAACTATTAGTACTCATTATTTGCAACTACCCTCCTACCTCATTTATGTATTTATTATCTCATTAAGTCTTGTTACATACTATTTTGTGTCATTTAGTACCCTCATGTGATATCTTGTTTCGCATCCCATTATTTCATGCTTCTAAATGCAGGGTGAATGGTAATCGCCTAGTAACGTGCTCCTCGCCCCTCTGTAATAAGGAAGTGACTGCATCTGGCTAACAAGGGGGAACGAATCACAGTAAGCAAATTCGCGCAAGCTCCTTTAATGACGTTCCATGAGGTTTAGATTTGCTCCTAGTATCCCATCTAGATGCTCACGCCCTGTATCGTGTATCGTGCATCCAAGTTCACCCAATCTACACCGTACTTTTGTTAAAGGATTTACATGGCGACCTTTGATAGGTACGTTGGAAGGCGCCTAAACAATCGAACACATTCGAGGCGTCCATGGGATCGCGGATCTAGTTGAGGCTTGAGCTATTTTCAGGATAGTTGGAGGGGATCAAACAATCCAAGTTGTTGAAGCCCTCCATCGCGCATCTCGCGGCACAATATCATACAGATCGAGACCACGGCCATACATCCAACAGGTAACTTCTCTGTTGTTCGAGTTCGGGTAGCGGGATCCATGCTCGGTGTATCTTATGCCCAGGCAGACATAAAAGAGAGCATGTTTCCTCACGGCATCGTTATTTGTCGCTGACAATTATTCTCATACTCTCTCGTTCACCATCGTATTACCCTGCTCCAAAGCTCATTTTACCAATCGGCCGTCGACTAACCAATATGGTCGCCCCTCACCAAGACATTGACGCTTCCCCTTCGGTCCCCCAAGCCGTTGACCAGGGCCTTGAAGAAAAACATTTGCCCACCACCGTTGCTGGAGAGTTGGAGCCAGTCGTAGCTGACTTGGTGAAGAAAGACCTGTCCAACCTGGCTACATGGCCCGGAGGGCTTCCAACCACTCCGGTCTTTGCCTTCGGACCCTCCACGCCGCCGCTTGATGTCGACGAACTGGAGAAGCAGCTGGTAGACGCTGCTGAGACCAGACGTCAGTCTGATTGCACCGACTTTGAGGACTCCCTTGGCACTGTCGATGCTCGAGAGATCAACCTCGAAAATCTCACGGCCGAAAAGCAGCATAGTCCAATTTCTCGGTTTGAGGAGCCGGTTACAATGGGTCAGTTGAAATGCCTGCTCCAGGCTGTGCTGGAACTCAAACCTCAATCGACTTCGGATACTGCGGAAAGTGACCTGGTCGACAACCAGCAGAAAGAGGAAAGGGTTGGAGCCTCCATACTAGACTACAAAATCATTCTTGAAAAGTACAGTTTCCCCACTCCAAGCATTATGTTTCAAGTTCACTGACGGGCAATAGGTGGCAAAGACTGATCGACGAAGGGCATTCTTTAGTTGGACCAGCTGTGGCTACTAAGCCTGCCCAGCCCTGTGCTAGTAAGGAACAGGAAGAGAACGTTCAGGTGGTAGATGAAATTGATCTCAAGAGTCCAATCTGCACTACCCCGGAAGATTTCAAATCGTTCGAAAAGTGGGCCTCGACACCCCAATTGAAGACGGTCGTGGAAATGTAAGCCTCAAACCCCTCCTCCCATCACTTTCCAGCAACTAGCTGACGCCGATATAGCTGGGACAAATGCGCGAGCAGATACAAAATCGGAGAGCCAGTGGAGACCAACAGTAGTCTGGACGACTATGTTGAATATGCATTCGTTGTTCGCGAACGTGTTGGTACGTAATATTTTT